AAGACTTCTGTTATTTAAAGTTTTTGTACTATAAATGTTAGAGACAATGTAATCGAGTTTATTTTATTCCGTTTTTATTTTACTAATTTTGGTATTATATAAATGGATTTTCGTGATGGTATTATGATTTAAAAAAAAATTACTCATAATCAGGACATCCCAAAAATTGGGAGGTTACAAGAATACCCCCTCTGAAATTTCCCATGTACAAAAAGAAGATGATCCTAGAGGCTATCAACAACCACTAGGACTTTCTATGGACAACATAATTGGAGACATCTCAAAAGGGGTAACTACTAAACGTAATTTAAATAATTTTTGTATGATTGTTGCTTTTGTTTCTAAGATAGAACCTAAAAACATTGATGAGACTATTCAAGATAACAAACGATGTGTAGCAATGCAAGAAGAATTGAATCAATTTGAAAGGAATAATATTTGGGAACTCATTCCTAGAGAAAAAAAATTAGCAAGTAATTGGAACAAATGGGTTTTCAAAAACAAGTTGGATAAGGATGGTCACATTACTAAGAACAAATCAAGAATTGTTGTTAAAGGATATTTCCAAGAAGAAGGTATTGACTATGATGAAACTTAGGTACCGGTAGCAAGGATAGACAAAACTGCTTTTAACAAAGATGATTTTTGATCATCATGAAAAAAAGGGAGATTGTTGCCAATGAGAAACATTGATTCCTTGAAGAAGATTTTGATGATGATGCACTTGAAGACTTGGAGGAATATTCACATACATTGTTAAAGCATATTTTGTAGAAACATTTGTATTACGATTTATCTTTCAATTATAAGAACTTAGAAGTCATGTACCTTATTCTTTTGTACTGATTTCTCTAAAGAATAATCAATTATCATGGGGGATAGTCAATTATCATAAGTAAAAGTAGAAAAGGCTTCGTTTCGGCAATAATTGATTATCACAAAGGATAATCAATTATCTCCGCAAGTTATAATTGTCTAAGGTTTGACAATAATCGATTATCACTAAGGATAATCTATTATCACATTTTCAAATCCCCTAACGGCCTAAAATAATCGATTATATATCACTTTTGATAATTGATTATCTCTGGAAGTTGGGAGCACCTAACTTCATTTTTCATACAAGATGCAAATTGAGTTGCTTTCTTAAGCAAATTTTCTAAAATGTCAATATCAAACATATGACTCTTGCAAGATAAACATTCAATAGGATTATAAAAAACAATAGGCTCTTTCGTTTATAAATTGCAAATTTTGTTTCTCAAAATCTCTTTTTCATCTATAGTTTTTTCATATTTGATTTGCAAGTCATGAAATTCAATTTTCAATTTATCAAGTGTTGAATCTCATTTCTCAAACTCATTAAGCAATTCAAGAAAAGCTTTTTGAAAATCTAACTCACTAGTTTCAAAGCTAGAGAACCTTACTTGGCTTGCAGTGTCATCAATATCTGCCATTAAACACAAGTTTGCTTCTTCATCTGAGTCACTTGAACTAGATGAGCTTGAGTTATTTTCCTCCTAAGCAATGTAAGCCTTTTTTTTTTGTGAAACCTCTTTTCGTCACTCTTTTTGGTTTTAGGACAATCCGCCTTTACATGTCCTCTTTCTCCACATCCATAGCATTTCTAACTTGAGGAGGATCCCTGATTTTCTTTATTTTAACTTTTGAACTTGTCCTTTCCCTTAGCTTTCTTGAACTTAGCAAACCTCTTGATCATGAGACTCATATGCTCATCATCATTAGAATCATCATCTACTCTTGAGCTCTCTTTCCTTTAGAGACTTCTGTTTTGAATGCCAAGGTCTTATTCAACAGTTAGTTTATTGAGCTCAAGCTCATGCTCACGGAGTTTTCCAAAAAATATCGCCATTGACATTGAGGAAAGAATTTGTGACTCAGAAATTGTTGTCATCTTAGGTTGTCAAGTCTTGTCCAGAGATTTCAAAATTTTGACATTAAGTTCATCAATAACAAAGGTTTTACCTAGTCTTGTGAGGTGGAATGTGACTAAAATGCTTTTACACGTATGCTATTGTTTCTTCAGGCTGCATTATGAACATTTCATACTCCTAGATTAATGTGTTCTTTCTTGCTCGTTTGACATCATTTGTACCTTCGTGAGTTAATCGAAGGACTTCCCATATTTCTTGAGCTATCTTACACACAGAAATTCTAAAAAATTCATCAAGCACAATAGTAGAAGAAATAATGTTACGAACTTTAATATCAAATTGAGCTCTCCTATTTTCCTCATCAGTCCAAGATAAATATGGGTTTCTCTTGTTCAACACCATCAACAGTTCTAGTGGGGATTACAGGACCATTTTCCACAGCTTCCTAAATGCCTCTATTAACAGACCCTTTAAAAATATGCATTCTAACTTTCTAGAAAGCATAGTTATCACCAGTAAAAAGGAGTGGTCTGTTGATGGAAGCACCTTCAGCATACACATGATTGTGTCCAACCATTTTCAAAAAAATTGAAAAGCTATCAAAGGTAGCTATGATACCAATTGTAGGAAATGCAGCGGAATGTTTAAGAACGTGTAAACACATACACAAAACCAATAGGGGAGGGTGAATTGGTTCTATTAAAAATTTTCGTTTTCTTTTTGAAATTTCTTCGAATAGTCAAGAGATGCAGAGATAAGGAAAATCACACAGAGGATTTTTATACGGGTTCTAATCAAAAGATTCTATGTCAAGTTGTTCATCACTTTAAAATGAGTGATTAACTTTTCACTAAAAATCATTTTGAAGTTACAAAATGAACAATGAAATAATCAGTACAGAAAACACCTTCCTTCGACAGACGAGGGAATGAACACCACCTTGAACAACTTGGTAGAGAACCGCTTGCTCCTTTAGACACACTAAAACCATGCTTCTCCTTCTTCAAGACTTGATCAAACAATCACTTAAACACGAGCTTCCTCAGAACAAATTATGTACTCTTAATAGTTTAGGTACCCTCAAAAGGTTTAGGAGACTTCTATTTATAGGCCAAGGGTTAGAAAATGAAAAGATAGCTCCCAACTGCCAGATATAATCGATTATTTTAGGTCATTATGGGTTTTGAAAAACGTGATAAACGATTATCCTTAGTGATAATTGATTATTACCGAACCTTGGACTTGCCAAGATAATTGAGTATCCTTAGTGATAATCAATTATTGCCGAGACGAACCCTTTTCTAATTTTACTTATGATAATTGATTATCCCCTGTGATAATCGATTATTGTCGAGAGAAATCAATACAAAAGAATAAGTTACATGACTTCTAAGGGCTTACAACTGAAAGATAAAGCCTAACACAAATGCTTTAACAATGTATGTGAATGTTCCTTCAAGTCTTCAAGTGCATCATCATCAAAATCTTCTTCAAAGCATCAATGCTTTTGGTTGACAACATATAGCAACATGAGTTATACTATCATTGCACAAACACAAATAAGAAAATGTGAGCTAACCATAAAAAAAATTATAAGATGAATATAAAAAAAAGCTTACTCACCCACATCACTCACACGCATCATTCCAATCCATGAAAAATAATACCACATCCATGAAATTCACCAAATCGTTTTACCACTAAGTGATACCAAAACAATATGTCTTTTCCCCATAACATATTGTTACTTTACTTGTTTCCATAAGTCTTACGAGTACAAACTCTGCTTAAGCCTAAAGCCTTATAGTTAGAGTCATTCTGCCTTTTTCCCCATAACATATCCCCTACTTCCTAAAAGCCATACAAGTAAAAATTCTCACGAATAGAGCATTATACTCAGGTCAGACCAAAGCCTTATGGACGAAACAAACCTTTTTTTTTCCTCGGCTTTATAATTATAGAAGACATAACAAACAAACACTTCTCTCAGCACAAACTAAACTGACGAGCCATCACAAAATCCCATCTTCCAACACTAACTAAATTGACGAGATACCAAAATACTCATCTCCCAACACCAACTGAACCTTTGAGCCATCAAACAATCTCATCTTCTAACACTAACTGAATCGACGAAACTGAACCGACGAGACTCACCACATCAAACAGCTTAACCAAGAACAAATAAAGTACTATTATTTTGGAAAGACCATTCTTGATGATAGCCAAGGAAATTTTAAATGTACCAAGGGACCCTCACTATGAAATTTGGTGATACCCAAGTTAAAGTCAATATCTCTTATGCTTTGAAGCATCTGTTAGAGAGAAATCCAAAATTACAGAGCTAATTTGTCTTCTTTTGTCACTTGGTTGATATAATGAAAGAAGAATTGGAAAATGGTAAGCTGGATTCGTTGAACAATGAAGAGATTGTTACATTGATGGACCTGTCACGTCATCTTTCACTTATCACATCAACATTTTAATTTAATTTAAGTTGTAATTTCATGTTTTAGACATTTTGGGACAAATTTAAGTTTTGGACTGTTTTTGAACTTTTTGGAGAGACCAAAAACCTATCCAACATTATAAGATAATATTTGAAAAATCAATAACATAGTTTATTCTTTCATATATATATATATATATATATATATATATATATTTAAAATCTTCTACATTAAAAAAAATTGTGTAAATGAAGGGAGGGAAACTATTTTAAATAACACCCGGGGCTTTTATGTACTAATATCATCACATTCAAATGTACCTACTAAAATTTGTAAGATCCAAAAGTATTGTTTCCATATTCCAAAATAAATACTACTTTTAAATTTTATAGAAAAAAATATTTTCAAAAGTTTATAACTAAAGTTTACTAGATTTATAAAGATTAAATAAACGAATGTAAACTTTAAAACATTGGAAGTTAATTTTGTTTTTATTTTTATAGAAATTATATTTATATCTCTCTAATTTTTATTACCACTTTCTTCTTCTATTTCACAAGATAACCCTTATTTTTTATAAACACCATTATTTCGTTATTTCGTGTGGACCCTAAAAACCTGCAGGCTCATATTCACTCACCCACTAACACTCTCACCATAAATTGTGACCCTTCTCGCACAAACTCTTTATTCTTTTTTCTCTCTCGAGTTTTTTCCGAAAAGCTGAGTCTCGAAGCTAACACCAAAGAGAGAGAACAATGGTGAAGCCATCCATGCTCAGATCTCTCCACTCCGCCGCCACCCGCGGCGTCTCTCACTTGTCCCGCCGTGGCTACGCCTCTGAGCCGGGGCCGGAACGCAAGGTCGCTGTTCTCGGTGCCGCCGGTGGGATCGGGCAGCCCCTTTCCCTTCTAATGAAGCTTAACCCCCTCGTTTCTAGCCTCTCCCTCTACGATATCGCCGGAACCCCCGGCGTTGCCGCCGATGTCAGCCACATTAACACCAGATCTAAGGTACCCCCGATCTACCCTCTTAACCGGATTATATTATTATGTGTTTTTTTTTTTCAGAATTATAGACTTTGCTGTGTTTTTACGAGGTGCCCTTTATAGGGTCGTTGTAAAGTTACGAGCTTTGTGTAGTGCGGCTTTTTGTGTACCCATTTGTGGGTTTCTTGGAAAGATTGAAGCTTTAATGAGGTTTGACCTACGGTATCGTGTCATCATTGTTGAAATTTTGTTAAGGTGCTAGATTTAGTGTTTTTTGGTGTTGTTTTTTCAGAGGGATTGGGAACTCTGGAGGGTTAATTCGCCCTCTGTTTTTATTATGTTTTGATTATGGTTATTTCTTTTTTAATTTTGCGATGAAACCTATTTTGTGTATAAGATCATCTACAGTTTTTTCTTGAACTGTTGATCTCGAGCCCATTTCTGTGGCATAATGATCTAATGACTATACTATACTTTAATGTTGTAGTATTATTATTCGAACCGTTTCGCTGAGATGTACTAATCTACTCTTTTTTCTTCCTTGGAGGGGAGGGAACGGTTCAGAATGAAAGTTTTGCTGTAGTTTGATGTTAATGTCACGATGAATTGAGTTATTTATCTTAGGCACATGGATCTACCCTTTCAGGTTTATTTGGCAGGTGGACATTTACTATGTTTTGATATTAATTGCAGGAGTTGCACTAATACACCCGTTTTGGGCTTAATTTTTCCAAAAGGGAAAATTTAACTGTAGTTTAATGTTGAGCTATTTTAATGTTGTGCATTGATGTAGCTTTCTTGTGGGGGTTTTGCAATGATGCAGGCATTATTGTAGTTTTATGTTTTAGTACAATTGCTTGAGCTCTTTTGGAACTATGCGCAATGTTTACTATAGTGTAATGATGTTGTACTAATGATAGAAATTTTATTTATTTTGTTAATTGGGATTACAGGTTGTAGGGTACCAAGGTGAGGAAGAGCTTGGCAAAGCTTTGGAGGGTGCAGATGTTGTCATAATTCCTGCTGGTGTGCCCAGAAAGCCTGGAATGACCCGGGATGATCTTTTTAATATCAATGCTGGCATTGTCAAGGCACTTTGTACTGCTATTTCTAAATACTGCCCCCATGTGAGTGTCTTTTTCCTTGAGTTGTTTTTTCATATTTTTTTTGTTAGTTAATGTTGTTGGCACTGTTAGTATTGTTTTGCTGAATTTATCCGTGGAAAACATATATAATGGTTTAGGGAACTTTCATTATGTTTGGTTTTTGATGATTATTCATTTTCATCTATTTAACAGTGGCTATTTTTCTAACGAAAAAGTTTTGGGAATTGAATTGATACTAAAATTTATAATTCTTAAGGAAATATGTTTTAAGCCGAACACAAACTCATAAAATTGAGTTGTAAAGTAGGAATTGTATCAATTTATATACTATAATGTAGTCATATCTTTAGTCAATGTGGGATCTTCAATACATCTCCTTACACAGAAGCCTTGACAACTCGATTGTATGACGGGGAAATTCAATAGTGGGTTGTATGATTGGCCTAATAAATTTGATTAGGATAGACTCTAAATGATTGTCATATCATTTTGTGCAAGTGGAATTTAAGTATAACATAATCTTGCAAAATGGACTTGTAAGGTGAGGTTTACATTTATACATCGTTAGTGGGCTGTATCTCTAATTGATGTTAAATCTTTGACATTCCAACTCTAAAATAATGGCTTGTAAGGTGAGGTTTTGTGTCAACCTATATATAATAATTGGGTCATATCTCTATTTGATATGGAATTTCTAGTACATCATTTTACGTCAAGGACAAGACATTTTGAATGTGGGAATATAGGGAGCCTGAGAGTGGGTGGAATAGTTCCTACAAATTTTCTTTGAATAGATTTTGAATTATTATGAAATCATTCTTGAAAGTGGGTTTTAAGCCTAACTCGATATCACAAAATTGGTTTGTAAGGTGAGGTTTGTGATATTTGATTTCCACTAGTTATGATGGTTGATGATATTATTAAGTGGTTGATATGAATTCTTTCCTCACCCACTTGAAGTATAGGATTTAGTAATCAAAAGTGTAATTGTGTGCATGTCCTGTTTCATAGTATGACTTTTTATTTGATACTGAATATTTTTATCTTTGGAATCAGGCCCTTGTTAACATGATAAGCAATCCTGTGAACTCCACTGTTCCTATTGCGGCTGAAGTTTTCAAGAAAGCTGGAACATATGATGAGAAGAGACTATTTGGTGTAACCACCCTTGATGTCGTCAGGGCAAAAACTTTCTATGCTGGGAAAGCCAATGTTCCAGTTGATGGTAAGTCTACTGTGACAAACATAATTGCTTTAATGTCTTGCTTTGGTGGTGATTTATTTAGCAACCTACAGTTGGAACAACTGAGGCAGACTGTTTGGTGTCAGATTTCATTTTCATGGTTGTGTGAAGAAAATTTCAACTAATTTCAAGAAAAAAAAAACTGTTGTGTTTTTTGCAAGTGGGTAGGGGTTGTAATAATGTATTTCTTCTTTTGAAGAATAATTTGTATTTAGTTGTATATAACATTTGGTTTGATTTGGGTTTGTTTTATGTATCTGCAGGTGTCAATGTGCCTGTTGTGGGTGGCCATGCAGGCATTACTATTCTACCCCTATTTTCTCAAGTACCTTTCTGCTCTATGAATCTAATTTTCCTCCCTGATATCTAATCTGTTTGCCTAGCTTGGTATATATGTACTGAATCCTTCTAACTGTTTTTCAATTGTATAGGCTACACCAAAAGCCAATCTTGATGATGATGTCATCAAGGCTCTTACAAAGAGGACTCAAGATGGAGGAACAGAAGTTGTGGAAGCTAAGGCTGGAAAGGGTTCTGCAACTCTGTCCATGGCGTAAGTGTGGCATTAACTGATTTTTTATCTTTAAAGTTAGTTAGTTAGTCAGTGAAGATCATTGATACTAATGCAAGACTGATATAAAATCTAATCTTGTATTTTATTTTATTTTATTATGTTTCTTGCAGCTATGCTGGTGCCCTTTTCGCTGATGCTTGTCTCAAGGGCCTTAACGGGGTTCCAGATGTTGTTGAGTGCTCATTTGTGCAATCCACTGTCACTGAACTTCCTTTCTTTGCTTCAAAGGTCACTGAACTGCACCATTTTATTGTGTTTCAAATTTTACTGCTTCCCGTGCTTAAAGGGGGCTCCTCGATTTGTGAAAAATACATATCTTTTTTATAAAATTAGTGAAAACAAAACATATAAGAAACGCAAAATTAAGGTTCCATTTTATAAATATTAGTGTGAACAGACAGGCTGTTTCCTCAAACCCAACTGTACCTAAGATTCGTATATTTTCACCATGTTGTTAGACTGGTTAGTTTGTGTCCAGTCCTAGAATGACAAAACTGGTCTCCAATTTGAACTGGTCAAGAACTGAAAAATCTAGTTCAATATTGGTCAACAAATTAAAACAAGCTGAAGGTTTTAAAGTGAAGATTTACTTTTTTCCTTAAAAGTAAAGATTGTCGAGATTTTGTTATTTTCTTTGTGAAAATGTTGAACATCATACCTAAACATTATGATTTATTTGATGTGTAAAATTTGAATGTGAAAAAGTTAAATGAAGTTATTATAAGTTTCTAGTATTGTTAACATGTTTCACCATTTCAACCATTGTGCAATCACCAGTTTAACCTGTGATTGACTTTGAACTGGTGTCTGCGGTATAGTGACCGGTTCTGTTCCTTGACCAACCGCTTCAATGGTCATCCATGTTAGTTTACTGCCTATTGCTATTGACACCATGATGAAAATGTGTTGCAGGTGAGGCTTGGGAAGAATGGTGTGGAGGAAGTTCTGGGATTGGGACCTCTCTCTGATTTTGAGAAACAAGGCCTAGAGAGCCTTAAGGGTGAACTCAAATCATCAATTGAGAAGGGAATCAAATTTGCAAACCAGTAATTGAACATCTCAAAGACATGTCTGGTAGGTAACTGGATATTCCTAAGAACCAAATCAAAATTTTGCAATCTCAGAACCATTGTTGTATTGTTGCCCGCAGTGGTGGCGGCCTTGTTGTTTTGTTTAGAGTAGGTATACGCCATGGTTTAATAATTTAAGTCTGAGAGCATTTTGCCAAGGGATTCATCAATCTTAAAACCAGTTTTAGGTGTTGACCATTCAATTAATAATTGTCCCTTTTAATGTGGTTTCACATAATGTAATTGCAGGGTGTTACACCTCTTTTCTTGTTGATTGTTTTAGCAGTCTTGTGAAAACGTTTTCAACCCTTTTGTGAGTGAGTTCAGTAAGATAAAACTTGGACTTTGTTGAAGTTTGATTACATTTTGGACATGTTTTTATTTATTTCTTCTAATATGGTTAAATTTTTGTAAAAGCTATAAAATTATATAGGTGGTTTTTAAATGACAAGTGAGATTCTTATAATGTTGTATTTTTCAGAAGTTTTAGTCAAGATAGAGTTCATATACATTCATCTCACTGACCAAGTTAAAAAAGCGATGTTGGTCAACAACATTATTTAAATTGTTAAAAAATTATAACAATCAATCATATTATACTATAAAAACTTTATTTTTTTAAAAAACACATGAAAAATGTGATTTTGTTTTTGAAAAATATCGAGAGGGAAAATACAAGAATTTGAGTAAACTTGGTGAAAACATCAAATCAGTTCAATATTGAAAGAAATAATGAAAATTTTGAAACAAAAGAAGAGTTATTCAAATAAAATAAAATTAAAAACCAAAGAGAAAAAAATATATAGATTACCTAATAAATTAATGATTTTTAACGCTTGAAATTGAATCAAATATTTTGGCTGGCAACAAAAGAAATAAAAAGTTAAAAATATTGAAAAGAAGTAAAATTGATTAAATATATATATCTTAAAGATGATTTAATTTGATAAAATTAAGGTTTATATATCTCTTTAGCTATACGACATTTATAGAAAAATACACAAGGAAATAAAAGCGTAAATGAGGTTGTGATGAGAAAGAGAATAGCTTAAGGATATGAGTAAATTTGATGGATATTGAATAAGTATAACAATTGAGAGAGAAAATTAATAATTGTGTAGCAAAATAAAATTTCTTCAAACAAAATGAAATAAATGACTAAAGAGAAAAGTAAATGTAAGTCTTTGAATTTACTTAATATATAATATACTAAAATGTATGGATAATTTAACATAAATACGAGAATAGGGATGAAACAAGTATGCATACATCTATTTTTTTTTATTTTGTATATCAAATTTATAAAATAAAATATTGTTTATATTTAGGGTTAAATATGTTTTTAGTCCTTAAACTATCAAGCGATTTTGGGTTTCGTCCCTCTTCAAAAGATTTGTTCATTTTAGTCCTCTTAGTTTTGAAACTCTTATGTTTAGTTATTAAAATTGAACGACAGTTAAGTTTTTTATGAGGTGGCTAACGATGAGTTAGGTGTATGCCATGTTTTTTCTTTTTTTCTAAAATATTTGCCACGTTTTTTTTCAAACCCTTCCTTCTTCTCCCTCAAATCACTCAAAACATCCGCTCATCTCTTTCACACCCACCATTGTTACTGAGATATGGATCTTCTACTAGTTTTAATACAGGTTGACATTTTTTGTATTGATCAATTGCTTATATTTTAGTTGGGTTTCCTGGTTTTAATTTACAAGTGGCTTTTCACAGCGGCACTGCAAAGCTGAGGTGCACGAGAAGAATGTCAATCTCACACTCGCGATTTCTGGTTGGTAGAGGCGCAGAGAGTTTGTGATTGTTTTTTATTTTTGGTTTTTGTGCATGTTGATGACGTAGATGAATGCAGTGGATGATGGTGGTTGTTAGGCGTGAGGGTTGATGGAGGAGAAAGTTGCGATGTGTTAAGGGTTTCGAACTAGTTCTGGTTTAGGGATGACCATGGAGCGCGAGTTAAGGTTCACAAATTGGTCTTGTGGTAGAGGATGAGAATCATGATTGCGTTTTTTTTTTTGGTTTCTTTCAGATTTGCGACGAAGGTGATTGGGATTTCTAGGTTTCTACATGTTTCTGATTCGGACGAAGGAAGATAGTGATCGCGATTTGGGTTCATGGAGGTCTTGCGATGTGGTTTTCTGGTTTGTTGGTTCATTAGGCGCGGTGGTAGGTTTGCTCAGTTTACAGATTTTACAATTCTCAGACTTGGGTTTCTGCTTCGCAGGTTCCATGGTGGTTTGCGGTGAAGGTGGCTTCACTATGGGGAAGTTGTTTCGAAGGAGAGGAACAGTGGTGGGTGTGAAAGAGATGACAGAACATTTTGAGTGATCGGGGGAGAAGAAGGAAGGATTTGGAAAAAATGTGGAAATCATTTTAGAAAAAAAAACGTGGCATACACCTGGCTCACCGTTAACCACCTCATACAAAAACTTAACACCGTTCAATTTTAAGTACTAAACATAAGAGTTTCAAAACTAAGAGGACTAAAATGAACAAATCTTTCGAAGAGGGACGAAACTCAAAATCGCTTGATAGTTTAGGGACTAAAAACATATTTACCCCTTATATTTGGATAGTATATAATTTCTAATAAAACTAAAATTAGGTTGATAGAATACCCATGAAAATAAATTTATTTACTATATCTAATTTTATATAAACTAATTACATATTTAACTCTTCGAAATAAAGTATTGCCACCAGTGAGAGAGAAAGCAGAATGCGTCTAAGAAGGACAAGAACACGAAAATTATCGGTCAAAACAAACGAAAATCATACCTAAAGTAGTTAATTAACATGCATTTGTAACAAATGAAAGAAAAATTACATGTGATGGTCATCAAACTTTGTTCCAAAAAAGTTTGAGCAGTGAAGAGGGTATCGCGCGCTAAGATAAAGTGAATGAATTTTCAATCTCCCGCTCAAATTTTTATTGAATTCACTAACCTTTTAACGTCTAGCGTTGGGGCATTCGACATTTTATATCTTTTTTGTTACCAATGAGGAGCATTGGTAAATTTGAAGATAAATGATTTTGGTGATGTTGCAAGAAACACTATAAAAAACAAGGGCATTACCGAAGGCCATTATCCCTCGGAAATAGCCATAAGCCCTTAGTAATTACCTTTTACCGACGGTTTATCGACGGTCAAAACACCATCGATAAATCTCTTGTCGGTAACATCTATCGAGGGCTTTTTCCCTTTGATAATTACCGAAGGGCAAAAGTCCTCGGTAATTACCGAGGGGCAAAAGCCGTCGATAATTACCGAAGGGCAAAAGCCGTCGGTAATTACCGAAGGGCAAAAGCCGTTGGTAATTACCGAAGGGCAAAAGCCCTCGGTAAAGCCTTCGATAGAAACCAAGCCGAAGTAAGTGATATTTGTATTTGTGATCAAACCACACAAACCTGCATAACATGTTCACATCACAGACAGACCTATATAACATTTTCAAATCACAGACATATCTCCATAATATACATTCCAAAATCATCCAATCATTAATGGAGTAAACAACAATATAATAACATCATTTGTATTGTTGAAATTTAAGAACTTGTATTTCAAAATGAAACATAAAACATAAAACAACATGTTCATCTAGCAAATGTAATGTAAGAGAATCCTAATGTAACATAAAAAATGTTCTAACAACTATGTTCATTAACAAAATAAAACTAAAAATCTATATAGTCATCATCAGAATGATCTTCATCATCTTGTTGCTCTGTAGATGGCTGGACTGGTGTGGACTGGACTGATGTGGGCTACTGAGGGACAGTGGAATGAATGTCTGAAGCAGGCAGTGTTCTCATGACCAGGGACTTGAAGTTTGTAAACTCCGTTCTCAAGTCACTGTAATTTTCTCTCAATTCATTATTTTCCTGGTCACGTTGTTGTAGTAGCTGTGTCAAGCGGTTGATCGTCTCTTCAACAGTAGTAGTGGAAGAAGATGGTTGGTGCTTCAGAGTACCTCTTCTTGATGTTGTATAGTTTGCAGCAAGTTGTCCTGCCCCGTACACTCGTCCCTTTTTTTCCCACCAACGACATCGACCCAGCACTGTGTCCTACGGATGTCGTCGTCCTCATTAGTCGCATCATCCGGTGTAGGAGCTGACCCATGTTCGGATCTAACCCGTGAAAGTCTCGTAGAAAATTCTTCCTATTCAAACATTAAAAGCAATGTTAAGGAATGATACAATAAGAGAATGAAAAATTAATATTAGTACCACTGTTATTTGCTTACTCAATTAGGTACTTTTTACTACTCTTTTTAAGGTTTTAAGTAGTGTGATTTTGAGTTTTAGGGAATTCTTTGCTTATGACCACTTTCCTACCATCATTTCACTACTTTAAACTTGTTAGAATGTTAACATTACTTAAAATTACAGTACTTTAGGTGAATTGGAAATTTGTCACCCTTTAAGTCAACATTTTAGGTTGAAACTACTCAAACTTTGAGTTTTAGGTACTTGTTTGCTTTTGAGTAGTTTCCTACCTTCACTTGACTAATTTAGACTTATTAGGATATTAGCATTAGTTAAAATTAGTCTACTTTAGGTGAATTGCCACTTTCTCACTCTTTTAGTATAATTTTTTATGTTCTACATACTCAAACTTTGAGTTTGAGGTGATTCTTTGCTTTTGACAAGTTTCCTAGCTTCATTTCACTAGTTTAGACTTGTTAGAATATTAACATTACTTAATACCATATTTTAGTGTATTAAAACTTTCTGACCACATTCACAATTCAAGAAATCCAATTCTCACATTCATATGCATAATTTCAATAGTTGTTAGAAGCTTATTTGCAATCTTTTAGGTTCAATTAGTCCTTTTCTGATTTCAGTGATATTTTAAGCATTTTAGTATTTTAAGAGTCATTTAGTGTCATATTATAAATTATCAGATTGTATAAGTATCATTCCATGCATGACAAATAAGAAAAGTACCTTTTAAGTGTTGTCATAAGTGTTTTCACACTCCATTTTAAACTACCTCTGCTGTCAAAATGGGTGTGATAGTCATTTTGTGATTCTTGAGTTTCTAATTCAGTTTGACCAATCATTTAGCATAGCTACACATATGCAAACATGTTCACTTAATTTGCATTACACAATACTTAGGCTATCTCATTCAACAAACACTAAATGAAACCTACGGTCTCATTAACACATTCCATAATCTTCACTTACTAATGCCCCTCTTTTATTGTCTAGCCTCATTAAGACCAAAACAACAGAAAATATATGCTGCAGTAG